TTGCTGCCAATAGTCATGCCTAAGCCCTACTTCTAAACCTGATGATAAGTAGCCTCTGATTCACTTCTGGGCTGAGCATCGCATGGAAGACTTGCTACAGTACCCTAGGCCCAGGTCATGGGGTTTAGGGTAACCCTCTATTGGATCGTAAAGTCCCCCTGGCTATGATTACATTGCTTTCACGGTGCCATCATCGGCCTTCCTGGGATGGAATTATGGCCCTGCTTGGTAGTGCCCTTTCACCGGTCTGGACTCGACAACAACACTCGGCTTGCAGGAGCCCCGGTAAAGAAACTATTAAAAGGAACTCGAAACTCGAGCACAAGATGTGAAGCGGTTTCAGGTTAAGGGTTTTGGGTTTAGACTACGGCTTAGCCGTAGGAACGAGGGCACCCAAGAAAAACAACATCTCCAAAATCCGAAGGCCACATCTCGTAAATGCAAACCAAGTTCATGATGACTTCGCTGTGCGATTGCCTGGACAATCCCCGGTACCGGAATCAATCCCAAAATGCACTGCTCTTTAAGATACACCAGCCTATGTACTCCACTCCTGAACCCTAAACCCTATCTGCATTCTGCACCGTATTTTGACGGGGGACTTCGTAAATCCTGTAGTCGAATCCCTGAAACACCAGATACTTTTACCCGAAAGCCCTATTTAGGGTTTAGGATTTAGGGCTTCAGGGCCTTAAAGCCTAAACCTTGAGACTATTTAGGGTTTAGGATTTAGGGCTTCAGGGCCTTAAAGCCTAAACCTTGAGACCTTGAATCCTTAAGAGTAAGACTCGAAGAAGAGTAACCAGTCGCAGGGCCGTTCCCCCGATGCTCCGAGGAATCCAAAATCCTGTCGCTTTTGAAGGATTAATCGGGGACGGTTTTGGTGGAAAAATAACAGTCTAATTGCACAGGTTCCGTGATTAGTCAGACCTTTACATTGATAGTTCTCTAAATTAGTGTCCCTTTTAGGGTCCCTGTTATAAGGATATTTTGGGGACCGAAAAAAGGGACTAATTTACTGAACTCCCACATGCTACGGAACACATGAAGATCCTGGGCTTGTCAGGTGCATCCCAGGCCGGCAAACCCTGGCACGACGGGGCCCCCGCTCTAGGCGATCCAGAAGAAAGTCAATGAAGAGCTGCAGCAGAGAGGTTTAAAAAGGGATAGATGGGAAGAGTACAGTAGGGGGTTGAACTAGTGCCCTGCAAGCTCTAATTACAGGGCATGTAACTTTACAGGTCATGGGCATCCCAGGAATTAAAGACGCAGACCCGCAAAATCTTTTAGTTGCATCTAGTTGCAATAAGAAAGTTAAAGCCACGACGACCAGCTTTCTCAAGCAAAGGTGCTAATAAAGTCTTTGCCTTGAGCAAACATTGCCTGCATTGCCTGAATTAGCTAGTTCGCGAGGTAATTGCTGAGCTAGATACATGACGAACTGCCAAGGTAACTCAACTGGCAAGTCTACTAACTGCATACTGAGTCGAGTCAAGTAGTTAGTTCGGTTCACCCAGCAACTCATGACCATTAAGCTAAGCCCAAAACCCTGAACGCTAAAACAACAAAGCAAACAAAAAAAAAAACACAATCCTAAAGCCTATAAACCCCATAACCCTAAGAATTCCTGAGGAGAACCCTATGCTACAACCTTTTCGTAGCCCTGATAGAACCCTTTCAAGGAATCATAAGTAGTAACCCTTATATGGAACCCATTTAAAGAAACCCCCACGGAGCCTCCATGGAAGCGATCGCCAGGAGTCGGAGAGCACTCCGGCAAACCTGACTCTGAACACGATCTGAAGTTTAGGGGTTCGGGTTTAGGGTTCAGGGTTTAGGGTTTAGGGTTTAGGGGTTCGGGTTTAAGGTTTAGGGTTTAGGGGTTCGGGTTTGGGGTTTTGGGTTTCTATAAGGGTTCAAAAAGGGATCTAAAGGATGTCTATAAGGGATCAAAAGGGGATGAAAAGGGCTTCTAGAAGGGCTTCCATAAGCTTGGCTTCTAAAAGGCCCTGTAGGATTGCTATCAATTATAAGTATAAGGGATCTGAGGGATTACTAGAAGGCTAAGGGTGTAAGGTCGATAAGGCTTCTCAAAAGGTTCTAGGAAAGGTATAGGATTTAGGGGTCTATAAGAGTTCAGCTAGGCTCAGGGTTTAAGAGCTGCACCATATACGTTAGGTTATAAGGCTAAAAATATTAAAGGCTTGTAGGGTTGGGGGTCAAGAGTTTAGGGGCTTGGGGTTTCGGGTTGCGGGGGCCTTGAGGCTGAGGGTTTGAAGGTGATACTGTGTGTGGAGCTGCTTGTCAACGCTTCGATGATGACGAACCTTGGGGGGAATTCTTGCGACTGCACCATGTGAGTATCCCCAGCTCGGTTGCACAGATCCGATCTAGCCGACGACCTCAATCTCAAAGCCCCAGACTCTGAAATGATTCAGGCCTACACAGGAAAGGCCCAAAGTCTAAATCCTTGCAGAGCATACCGGATAAAACGCCCGATGGTGCCGAACAACTCGCATAAAAAACTGTCTTCAAACAAAAACAATCGCACACCCTAAACCCTAAGAGCACAGTCGCCACAAGAGTGACTGCTTCAGCTTCTCAGGACCCTGAGTGGCTCACGTCTGCCTTCCTCGGATCAGGAACATTTGGTGATTTTTCGGGGTTTAGAGGGTAGGGTTTAAGGATCATGGGGTCTAGGTGTGGGTTTCGGCTTGGGTGTGTTGGAATTTAGGGTTCGGTCTCCGCTCGCAAAGGGGTCTGGTTAGAGGGGAAACCTCAGACCACTTGCAACTCTGGTTAAAGCTTATTACTACCGTGCAGCCCAGGGGTCCAAGTTCAGGGTTTAGGGCTTTTTAGGGCTTGGCGGGGGTGGGGTTTGAGGGGGTCCGAATAATCATCATCGATATTGCTCAAGAAACCCGACCTGAAAGAACTTCTCTCCTACACCCCAGCACCCAAATATCTGTACCTTGGACCTCGGTAGGGCGCGGATCCGCAAGCCTCTGCCTTCTTCGACAACCCACCAGCTGATATTCTATAGCTGTTTCAACGGTTTTAAAGGGTGTGGCTCGTGCTTTTGGAGGGTTATGGGGGTGCATATCTCGAGACTTCTGCACCTTATGCGCCAAACTCGAACCCCCTCAACTCCCGAAGCCGAAACCCTAAACCCGACCAATGCGACCCTCACTGGCGACTAAACCTTACAGGCCCGCAAACTTCTGAACCTAAAGCCTTAAACCCCGAAAGCCCTAAACTCCTAAACCCTAGAACTCTACTTCAGAACTCTACATCCCGAAAGAAAAAAACCCTAGAACCCTAAATCCTACTAAAGCCTAAACCCCAAAGTCCTAAACCCTAATAAACTAAACCCCAAAGTCCTCAAAAAAGGCCGGGCGGCGAGGACCAAATGTCTGCCACTGAGCTGGCGAGGACGCTGAGGCCGCGTCGGCCCATTTCCTCAACTGTTTGGGTACTTAGGATTTAGGGTTTAGGGATTAGGGCTTATAGGGTTTAGGGTTTAGGGTTTTCGGTTTAGGGTTCTTTAAATGTAAGGGCCTTTAATAATGAGAATAGGGTTTAGGGGGTTCCTTACTATAATTATTAAAGTAGAAGATGATCCCACAAACCCTACTCTAATTATTAAGGTCTCTATATTAGGGTTTCGGATTTCGGACTTCGGATGGGCACTTTAAGCTTTTAGGTTCTGAAGCCTTTTTTCAGACGGGCTATAGGGTTTAGGGTTTAGGGTTTAGGGTTTCGGGATTTAGCAACTGAAGCTACCGGGCTGTAATAGATCTCCATAAGGCTTCCATATTTAGGATTTAGAGTTTAGGGCTTAGGAAGATCTTTACATACTTTTGCAAGAAACGGTATGCCAGCCGGAAACCTGGGAACGAAAACCCCAAAACTCTTTAGGCACCGGCTATGAAAACCCGCCGGCCCCTCTCAACTAGGGATGGGCGTTGAATCGTGGAAGCACTATGCAGCGTTGTGCATACAAAGATGCACAGCAATATACCCCTGATACCCCTGAAACCCCTATAAACCCTAAACCCTAAACCCTGAACCCTAAACACTAAACCCTTAACCCGAAACCCTAAACCCTAACAAAAGCCTCTCGGTACTCGTCGCCTGTGGCCTGCGGACGACTTGGCTTTGCTTGGGTTTTGTTAGGGATTCCGGGGTTTTGTAAGGGATTCCGGAGGGATTCCGGGGTTTTGTAAGGGATTCCGGGGTTTCTTTGAGGGTTCCTTTGAGGGACATCCGTCCTGATCACATGAACATGTAAGCAAGGAAATAAGCATACAACTAGATAGACAGTCACATACATAAGAAGTCGAAAGGGAAATTCAAAAATCAAGAAACAGAGACACAAAGTAGATGTCACGCGCAGAAACGTCGGAACAAATCTCATGCAGTGGCAAGTGGCAACTCAGCGAGTCCAAGACCCTTCAATTAAAGAATATATAGCTTAAAGTATGATGATCTGCGTGACATTCCTTGAGGGTATTGGGCTCTCCGGAAAAAAGCATCAGTTTCTTGAGCTCTCTCTCTCTCTCTCTATATATATATATATATACGTACATGTAGATGCACTATAATAAGAGCTTGACTGGCTACGAGGTTGCTGAACCCCTTTTCTAAACACGATTTGACTAGAGTAACCTAGCTGCCAAGACTTTGAACACGTGTCATCGTAGCCAGGAGATGTTTTGGCGTTGTCTAGGATCACTCTCGGTCGGGTGATCAAGCCACACCGGGCACAAATCGAACACATGCCGTACGATAGCAACATCACAGTGCTGTACTACTAATGAAGCAGCACGCGAGTTTCGAGTAGGATCCTGATAGAGAGTGGCGCAGTGCCTGCGATGAGAGCAACTCTGCACGAAACTTCACTGTGCAACGGCAATAGTCAAGCAGCTGCAAAACGAATGGTGCACTTCATTCTGAAGTCGTCAGCTTTTTGTCTTCGGCGCATGGTCTAAACGATGCCTTCAGTTCTCGGTAGCCGAGCTCTTGTTGGCTGCGTAGCAAGACTCACAGACATTGAAGTCACAGTGATGGAAGCACCGCCATCGGGTCTCGGTTCGCTGAATCTCACGATGGCAGAAGTCACAGTCCTTCGTGTCACCGTGGAGAAGACTCTGGCGCCAAGACATTCCCTCTTTACCTTGGTTCATAAGTAGCCTCTTTATAATAAGGGTACCCTTTTTCTTATTGTTCGGTTTTAGTAAGGGGGCCTTACAATAAAAAGGGCAAAAGGGTACCACTCAGGGACCTAGTTGCGCTTGTCTATGGGATGGCCTGCAGGACAGACCAGGCCTTTCTTCGCCTGCACCAGGAAGGACCCCTCGCCGGCCCGAGACACAATCCAGCTGCTTGCATCCTGTACCTGGGCTTTGTCCATGTCCCAGATAGCCGCAGTCAGCCCTGCCACAACGGATTGAGTGCCAAGAGTGCTGCGCTTGTAGCCGTCGCCCTTAAGGGGATTCGTTGGCGAGGCTGGAGCCACATCTTCGACGGGCTGGAAGAGGGCCTCGAACTCCAACTCCCCACCTGCTGGGCTTAAGGCAGCTGAGGTCAGTCTGGGAGCAGCTACCGCGACGTCGGAGATCGGTATCCGGACAGTGCCGAACGTCTCATCCCCAGTGACGTCGCTGCTTTGAACTTCGAGGACCAGGTCCATGTTCTTGGAGGAGACCTGCTCTGACTTGGCATCTTGGGGGGCGCAAGTTTAGAGCCTTTAGGTGTGGGTTTAAGGTTTAGGGTTTAGGGTCTATAGGGCCTAGAGTTGTGAGACCTGCTTTGGTTTAGGGGCCTCTTCTCAAGTACAGGGGTCGGAATAGCCCTTGAAAGAAACCCTTTAGACGATCCCTATTCTAGTTATTCAAGCCTTGTAGCATCCAGGGGCCAGCTTATTCATGTGGCTTGTACCCCAAACCCCAAACCCCAAGCCCTCAACCCTAAACCTTAAACCCGGGTCCGTCCTCGAAGACGAAAGGAGATGCTTCCCATCGAGGGTTCAGCGCCTGCTGAGGGAAACCGAGGCAATTTAGGGTTCAGTGTTTGGGGTTGAATGTTTAGGGTTCAGAGTTTAAGGTTGA